ATTATAACCAATTAAAATTTAAGATCAGGTGTAACATGTAGATCCTGCCTTTGTGTAACAAAAATAAGAAATTTTTAAAAAAATAGCTACATCTTAAAATTTTGATTAAAAAACTATCTTTTGTATTTTAATAAAAAAAATTCCTTGCAAAATTTTAGTATAAGCTATGCCTTGCCAAACTTTAGCCTTAGCTTTGATCTAACACTAATTAAAGTTTTATTTTTTGCATACAAAAAAGATGTTTTGATTTACATGTTACACCAATTTTGTATTTACATATAGGGTAGCGCCATAGTGCTATAGCACTATAATAATATTCCCATATTTAAATACTCCAAAGTGTTAAAAAATTAAAAAATTAAAAAAATAAAAAAATAAGATATTGTTTAACAATTTCTTACAATATTAAAAAAATCATTTATATAGTAATTAAAATAACTTTGTGTTTATAACTATAATAGGAAAAATGCATATACTATACATACAATATTTCATAGTTGATATACCAAATATGTATTATATAATTATTAAAAATTAATTTTTTATATGATCAATTTAACTATTATTATAACTATATCCAATATTTGTATTTTTTAAATTAGATATTAAGAATATTTTTTTAGTATCTTTGTACTATAATCAAGATTAATACTATATAATTTCCAATATTCTTTGTTTTTATAAAGTTTGTATTAACTTTTTTTATTTCAATTCTGCAATATTATATAGTATTAAAATAAAAAAAATTTATTAGATTTAATTAAGAGGCTATTGAAAACTTTTATTAGAATTTAAAAATTTTTCTATATTTTAAAAAAATCAATAAAATTTAGTGAAAATTATTACATATTTACAAAGATTTAATATAGCATTATTACTCTTATATGATTTAAATTTTTTTTTTTTTTAAATTGGCAATTGTATTACCAATTTTTTTTATTTGTATTATTATAAATATATTATTTATTTTTTTATTTGTAATTTTTATATATAGCTATTATTGTTACTATCTCTTAAACAATCTAGTTTTGCAGACAAATTTGTTTGCTAAAATTTTTATAAATTCATGTCTAATCTACTTTTATTAAAAATAAAAATATTTAAAGAATTTTTTTTAAATAATACAGTAATAATTATAATTATATATTATCTAAAAGTTATTTTTACCTTTTTAATATTTATAAAAAATTTGAATTTACTTATAAAAGAAAATTTTATAATTTTTTAAAAAAATTTTAATTTTAAAATTTTTTTTTTTTTTTTTAATTTTACTTAATAAAAATTTAAGATTTGACTTCCACTACCTTAATAAAAAGTTATAAGTATTTAAAATTCAAGTTTACTAAAATACACTACTAGTGTTTAATACTACAAAGATTTTCACCAATTAAATTGATTTAATATAGTATAATATAAAGATTAGATATAATATAAAATTTTGTTTGTTTTGTTATTTTTTTAAAAAATAACTATGACTTACAATAAAACTACTTTTTTTTTAAAAAAAATATCTTGCTTAATTTTACTATATGCTATATATTACTCTAACTTCTAACTACTTAATATTTATTAAATTTAAATTTGAGTTGTTTTTTTGTTACAGTCAAACCTCCATAAGTGTACTCAGACCAGCTTCAATTGTGTATTTAGAGAGGTTTGCATTTAGAGAAAGCCAATTAAATTGCAGCTTTTAATGTTTGATTTGTAGGCTTGTATAACACTGCTTGAATACTGAATTCTGATTGGCTATGTGTATTTAGAGAGGTTAGTATGATATAGAAAATCTTTTGATTGAACGTGCATTTGCAGAATATAGAATGTGCATTTAGCACTAATGATTTCTTACAGCCAGGCCAGGAATGTGTATTTAAAGAGGTATTGCATTTATGGAGGTTGCATTTATGGAGGTTTGACTGTATTGTTTTGATAATAATTTTCATGTTATACTACATACTAGTGTTAAGCACCAGTAGTGTGCTTTAGTATAATTGTTAAAATAACAACTTTTATTATTATATTTTTTTACAAATTATTAGGCAAAATTTAAACTTAGTAATAATTAAATTTTTTTTATAAAAATTTAAAAAACTTTTTAAAATTTTAATAGTAAAATTAAAAAACTAACTTTATTAAAAATTTAATATCTTTGTCAGAATTAAAATAAAATAATAAAATTTAAATACATTATTAATAATACAAATATCTTTAATTTTACTTAATAAATAGAAAGTAAGGCTTAAATAAATTTTGAAAAATTTAAAAAAACTTTTAAAAATTATTAATTTGTTCACTAGACAGTTTAAGAAATAATTGGCAATTTCTGCAATATAAGCTCTGAAGTTTGTAGTACAAAGTAGTCTAATAACAATGAATAATTGTCACTAACTATTCAATCCAACCTGTATGAATTGCTATTTACAGCCCCTTCTGGTAAAAAAAAATTCTTGAAACTTAGAATAGTTTTATAAAAGACCAATAATTATCATTAGTTATATAGAATTCACCTAATAATACCTTATCTGAATAGTTGATGTAAAATTTATTATATAATTAAACATGTGAATTGTCTAATTCATATATAATTTATATGTTTATCAAAAAGATAAATATAAAGCTTTTTTTTTTTATTATATAAGAGGAGTTTTTCCCTATTCTTTTATTTCAGAATTGTATAATTAGATACAAGAGTACAAATTGTTACATTCATAAAAGGAGTAGAGATTAGGGTTAGGTTTGATCCATTTGCTCTCAACCTATTCTTAGCTAGAATGGTTGCAAAACCTCTAAACTTATGAATATATTTTAATTATTAACACTTTGTGTTTATTCAAGAAAGGGTTTATTGGTGAAAAACAGGAGATAAAATTAGACAAAAAGAAGTTGACCTATCAATTAATTATTGTAATTTATTTGTACTAAGAAATTATATATTTTAAAGGATTGTTTTTTGCTCTCAATAAATATTTCTTCAGACTTTGTTCTCAATAAAACATTTGAACTGTCTTTTATAATTGCAAGGCTGAGTGAAGCCTGATAAATTTAATCCTTATTCTTACATTCCTATGCTTCTTGTTAGCATTAACTGCTAAAGTTATTTATTTTTGATTCATTTTTGTTCTCTTGACTTTGTTAAACTTATTGTGAACAAATCTTCACGATCTCTCTGATAAATTAGTGAATACATCTTCACGTTCCCTCACATAATACATTATTAATTTCATCGTTTTTCCCATCACGCCTTAAATCAATCCCAAATCGGATTGTCAACAATAGACAATCGGGATTAATTAGTCAACTGCATCCCCTTGCATTCATTAACACCCAGCGCGCATCTCTTAAACTTTACCCTATCCTAATATAGATTAAACAGACATCCGCCTGTTTCATATTGGCAACAATATTCACTAACCTATCGCCCATTCCTCAATTTCCCATACCTTAATTAAACGTCTCTTCGCCCTTAAAATTATAATTAGATTACTATCCTGAACTAGCTTGGCACTATCCGATCTGACGCTCTCCCAAACCGATAGTAACAGTGGTTACTATGTATGACATGGCAGCCACTTATTATTATTTGTGCTGGTAATATAAACCTTTAAAAAGGAAATGGCCAATCAAAGAACAGACATTTCGAGTATTCCGGATCAGCCCGACATAGAATCCGAACACATGCGAAAGAAGAAAAAAAGAAAAGCGAAAATACTCAAAAAATCGACCTTGATGAACTAATAAAAAATAACGGGATGAAATTTTATATATAAGAAACTCCAACTTATCACCGAAGCCCACAATCATAACGTCCTACGCACTTAGTTTATTTACAAAATTCGATTTCCTTTTTTGGTTTGTATTACCCGCGCAAATAAGTAAAATCCATGGGACATGGACGTCCATGCCCATGTCCAAATTATGGAAATGGACATTGGCATTGTTCATGGACTGTCCATAGACTGTCCATGCCCAATAATTTGCTTGGACACATGTCCATGTACAATATTGCTTCAGGTAATCGCGGGACATACGTACAGACATGTAATTTTGAGCGAAGATATCTTGGCAACCATTAAACGAGCTGCAATGAAAAACCTTTATTTAAATCATATGAACATGTAAAATTTAGATAAAAAATTTTCATCAAAATTTATGTTTGGTGGTTGTCGAGATATTTTACTTAAAAAATTTTGCCATAGCTTCTATTTTATTAACGGTTGAATGTATTTAAAACTTCGGCTGAAGATATCTCGACAATCACTAAACCAATTTCAATAAAAAAAATCTTTATTTGAATTCTATACACTATATTTATAGAATTCAAATAAAACATTTTTTGTTGAATTTGGTTTGGGCAGTTATCAGAATATGTCCCCTCAAATTTTAGAAAAATTTTATTACACTTATTTTTTGATAAACGTTCTGAATTTATTTAAAACTTTGAATGAGTATATCTTGGCACTATCAAATCGGATCGATAAAATTTTTTAAATTTTATTTATATATATAAAGGTAAAATAAAAATTTTTTTGTTAAATTGGTTTGGCGGTTATCAATATATCTCTCTAAAAATTTGTACCCCAGTATTAGTGAATATAAAAAAGTTTTATAACTATTGCACGCTGAGAATAGGATGTCACGTGGTTACTAGATGATCATCGACGGGGAATTTTGTGAGGTTGGTGCGTGAATTCTATAATGAATCTAATTGATCAGACAGACAATCATTGTTGAGTCCATTGAGGAAGATGCTTAAGAACGCCCTTAAACCTCCAAATACGTGATGGAAAAGTTACCTGAACATCTATATCTATATTAATTAATATACGTATATATAAACTTATTTGTAACATAAGAATTTGTGCATACGTCTTGCATATTTACCGTACGCATATATATGTACCGTACGTACGTACGTACATACGCATACAACTTTATATCTGCTGTAGCTTTGAAATCAATATTGAAAATATTTTTTAAACTCTCCGAATAATAACCTTGATAATATGGATCAAATATTTGCATCAGAATATTTTGATACGATTTTTAGATTTCTTCCGACTAATAAAGATTTACATTCTTGTCTCTTGGTTAACAAACATTGGGCTGCTTGTGCCGTTCCAATTTTGTGGGAAGCACCCTTCAGAATTACAGGAAAATATATTCCATATTCCAAGGTGATCAAAACCTATCTTGCATTCATACCAGATAGTACTTTTCTCAAATTTGGATATAAAGAAAGGATTGGGTTATCGATTACTAGGCCTCTTTTATTTAACTATCCATCATTTCTTAAAGAGCTCTCGTATGAT